ATTGAGGGGCGGGTTTTGGGGCTTTGGGTCTTCGTGCAATGACGAGATAAACCACTATACATTTACATGCCAGCAGGGCTTTGGCAAACTGGGCTATGTTCAAGAATGGTTCCACAAGGACTTTCATCATTACTCGGGCCCCTTTCTTCAACCCTTGTAGAGAAAATCTTGTTCAACTCACCTTTCTTACAAAACCCAAGCGACAAATCCATGCAGGCACCTGGGAAGCTAAACCAACCTTGCAGAACCACCAAACCCTTCGGTTGATGATATAAATCCTGCATTACCTTCGGGACCCTAAACCATGGGAACTAACTATGGTATATTCCTGATCATGGGTAACCCTAAACCCTACCTATAGTCTCCATTGTAGTTCCTTTTTGGGGATACCCTATAAAACCGTTGAGACATATTTGGTTAAACCAAAAAAAGGAACCACAATGGAGACTATAGGTAAACCCTAAACAAGCGTATGCCTTCAAGCAGAAGAAGTTGCCCCGCCCGGACCTTGGAAAAGACCAATCCCGGGCAACAGCTATCCGCGTGGCTCTCCTCAGCGCTCGAGCGAAGTTTAGGACTTCAGGTTAGTGTTTAGGGTAGTTGGGTTTAGGGTTTAGGGTAGTTGGGTTTAGGGTCTATACTAGGGTCTATACGGTTTAGGGTAGTTGGGTTTAGGGTCTATACGATTTAGGGTAGTTTGGGCTTTGGGTTTAGGCTTTCAGGCTTTAGGGTTTAGGTTTAGGGGTTGCCCGAAGTGGGCTCTAACTTGGGTTGAGGGTTCGGGCTTGGGGGGGTTCTATGTTTTATGGGGTGCTTAGGCTTTACGGGGCTTTGTGTGTCTCGGCTTCAGGGTTTAGGTTTAGGGTTTAGGGGTATGGGCTAGGGTGCCCCAACACACCCGAAAAAAAAATAAACAAACCCTGCCCGGGAGGTCGAGCGCTTAAGGGGTGTTCGGGCGGGTGGAGCTTCTCTGGGTGATTCGGCAAGGAAAATGGAGGGGCCCTTGCTTGCAGTAGCTTCGCTTTAAGGGGCAGTATGGTACATGGACTGGACTGCAGCGCCAAACACACCCGAGTTTAGAGACACCAAATACCCAACCCAGACATAAACATCCCAAAGAGATCATTCCTCAAACCCTTGCTGGCAAACTCGTGCCCAAACCCATCCCACCGAATCTGACTCGACGGCCAACCTTCTGAACTTTCGAAAGACAAGCGGGTTGTAAGAGCGATTACGTAATCTGAACCCCGAATCCTCAAATCACCCCTAAACCCTAAACCCGCCAATCCCCGAAACTCCCGACACCCTAATTAAACGCTCCGTGAGGGCCCCAGACCCATAGCCCAGCCTCGTTGGCAAGCGCCAGCGTCAGCATGGACGCAAAGACATGCAAGGCGTACGCCATGGGCCCCTGCACGTTTGTCTCGTTGTCAGTGCGCCCTGCGTTTAGGATTTGGGGTTTGCGCGTTTCGGGAATTTAATACGAACCCATAACCCTAAAGTTATAGCCTAAGGTTTGGGGATTTCTGGACCCTAAACCCTAAACCCTAAACCCTACCAGTAGCTCCCAAAGTATCCTCAGTAAGGCGCCCCAGAAGGGCTTACCATGGTGGATACTGAGGGCGTCAGAGCCTAGGGTGGAGGATCGGTTTCTGCAGACCCTAAACCCTAAACCCTAAACCCTGAATCCCAAACCCACAACCCAAAACCCTAGATCCCAAACCCTAAACCCTAAACCCCCTAAACCCTAAACCCTACACCCTAAAACCTAAACCCTAAAACCTAAACAACCCTAAACTCTAAACCCTAAATCCCAAACTCAAAACCCTAAACTCTAAACCCGACACCTGAACCCCAATCAACCCTAAACCCTAAACCCTAAACTCCAAAAAGAGCAGCCAAAGGGCAACCAAGAAGATCGCCAGGGCGTAGAGTCCACGGCGCCGAGCGCTTGTGCTCGGGGAGTTGTGGAGAGAGGTGTCGACCTCGGGGTGCGCTTTTTGTGGTTGGGGTTTAGGGTTTAGGGCTTCAGGGATCTTTGAACCCTAAACCCTAAACCGTTAGGGATTAGGGTGGTTTCTGGGGTTTCAGGGATCTTTGGAGGCTCTTTAGGGTTTCGGGGTGTGTTTGGTTGTCTGCAGGTACGTCGGCTCGAGCTCACTGACATGCCCACTCAGAGCCTTTATCTGGTCACTCGCATCGAGGGTTTAGGGTTTAATGCCCAGAGGGGTTTAGGGTTTAGGGTTTAGGGTTGGTCCATATACACTACCTTTATGGAATTAGGTTCCAGAAGACCATCCCTATTATGGTCTTGGGGACCTAATTCCATAATAGTAGTACCTATGGACCCTCTTGGATATAGGGAGAATAGGGTTTTAGGGCCCATTATACTATGATTGTAATCAGGAACCCGTAAAAAACGATAGGTAATTATATAGGCCCCTACATTAGGTTTAGGTGCCAGGGTTTAGCTCTGAGCAAGTCAAGTAACTTTCAGGTACTAAACTTGCCAGCTGTTGGGATGCTCGCTCCCAGCGTGCCAGCTTTGGGGGCAGATTGTGCAACAACCAAAAAGATCGAACGTCTTCAGGGTTTGGGGTTTAGGGTGAGGGTGCTGGTGATAGTGAGAGGGAACCTGTTCCTCTCCCGACCTGAGGCAGCGATGACAACCACGTCGAAACAAGGTGACCTAAACCATCAACCCTGCACCTATTCCAAGCCTCAGTTCTGCCAGCTAGATCTAGATGCTAGATTTAAGGTTTAATAAAGGGGCTTTAAGAATTAGAACAGCGTTTTGGGGCCCATTATACTATAACTATATTAAGGAACCCCTCTAGATTCTAGCAGCCCTGCTATCCCTTCTCGTGAGCGCAATCCCCAAGACCCTACCCTAAACCCTAAACCCTAAACCCCAAGACCCTAAGCCCTAAACTCTGGAGCCAACAGGGTCGTGACCACTTCGTCCTACCGTAAACACGAAGCACGATCTGCGCCGAATCGTACTCCTGCCTGCACCCATTGACAGGGTTCTCCTTAAAGGATTTAATGTGAGTTACAATAATGAAGAAACCTACTAAACAAAAACCTTACCTATATTCTCCATTGCAGTTCCTTTTTTTGGTTTAACCAATTATATACTAAGGACTCTATAAGGTATCCCCAAAAAGGAACTACAATGGAGACTATAGGTATGATAGTAACTTGAATCAAATTCCTTAATACTGTTGATGGACAAAATTCTGCATGACCCAAATATAGTATAGTACCATAAATCCCATAGTTTAGGTATATAGGGTCATGCAGGATTTTGTCCATCAGCCGTAAGAACCGGTTGACCAGTGCAAGGAGCCCGAAACCCAGCCTTGCCGGCTCAACCCTACCCGACTGACGGGCCTCAGCAGTCAGACTGCGGATCCCTTAGGATTTTCCGTAAAAGTGTCCTTAACCATAAGTTTTTTATACAGAGGTGTAGTATAGCGGCCTTTGTAACTACAATGGTGTTTTCGGGTTTGGGGTTTAGGGTTCTGGGCATATTATGCTGTGTTTATGTCCATTACAATAGGGAACCCTCAACAACAGTATTGGTGAGTATCTGTAGTTTCTCAGGCTTCTCCCTAAACCCTAAACCCTATATAAACCCGATGGAAGGGTGTGGGGTTCTGTCAGGTTTAGGTTCTTGCAGGCTTAGAGTACTACAAAGCTGTGGGGTTCTGTAAGGCCTCGGGATTCTGTGAAGGTTCAGGTTCCGTAAGGGTTTCGGTTTAGGGTTTAGGGTTTAGGGTTTAGGGTTTAGGGTTTAGGGTTTAGGGTTTAGGGGTTCTGTAGGGGCTTGGGGTCCTGTACCGATTTGGGGTTCTGCAAGGGAATGAGGTTCCGTGTTAAAAGGCTGGGGGACCTAGTTAGTAGGCAACAAGTAGATTCATTAGTTCCCGAAAAAGGGTCCGAATTGGGGCTATGATGCTTATAAGTCTGTGAAAGAAAAAAACTAATATAGGGGCCTTAATGATTTAGAATAGGGTTTGGGGTATATCATACTATAATTACAATAAGGAACCCCCAAAACCCTATTCTAATTCTTGAGGCCCCTACACTAACTGTCCCCCGGCCCTCCATGGCAGCTTAAGGTTCGAAAGCAGCCTCTGAGACTCGCAGAAACTCCTGACGAAGCCTTTACAGAACCCTAGCGAACACAAGACCATGTAGGCTTTAGGGTTGGGGCTTAGGGTTTAGAGTATGGGTTTAGGGTTTAGGGTTTAAGTATTTATTCCGTAAACCCATCATCAGATCCTGCATCAAAACCGAACAAATACATCATCCGTAAGCCCCTAAACCCTAAACCCTCCAAGCCCTAAACCCTAAGCGCATCCATACTTGGAGGGTCGGGGGACTTAGTAAGTAGGCAAAAAGTAGACTTATAAGACTTATAAGTAACCTGAAAGGGACTCTAAGTGGGGTTATGATACTTATAAGTCTATAAAAGAACTACTTACTAAGTCCCCCGACCCTCCAAGTAGACTGAATTCAACAACCCTACCCTAAACCCTAAACCCTAAACCGTAAACCCTAAACCCTAAGCCCTAAACCCTAAACCCTAAACCCTAAACCCTAAACCCTAAACCCTCAACCCTAAGCCCTAAACTCTAACGCCTGTAAGCCCCAAACCCGAAACACCGCGCTCTGCCTCTGATCGCCCCAGAGCGGTGCTGAAACCCTAAGCCTCTAGTTCGGGTAGTTACCCATACGTATGGCTAGTTCTCTAAATTAGGGTTCCTTCTGCGGTCCCTTTTAGAAGGGTGCTGCACTATGTTGGGGACCTAAATTTCGAGAACTACCCACATAGAACCCCTGTAGTAGATTGAAATACACCGAGCACTAAGAGAGCGGCGCTGTGCGTGCTTCTCTGGGGGCTGGCCGAGCTTTGGCGCCAAGAGCTCAGCGTCTGAGCGCATCCAGGCCTGACGGTATTTGGAGGGCTCAGAGAATTGGAGGTTAATTTTAGGGTTTAGGGCTTATAGGGTTTAGGGCTTTAGGGTTTAGGGTTTAGGGCTTAAGAGTTTTAGGGTTCAGGGTTGAGGGTTTTTTACTGCAAGACTGGAGGCTTCCCTCTCTGTGCCTCTGCAGACGACGATGGCTCAAGACGTTCAAAGACAAACCAGGGTTGTTATAATCATTCTGCGCAGGGTCTTTACAGAGTTTCATGCGGTCTTGCAGAAGACGCCTGTCTTGATTTTTGAGTGATGCAGGGGCCCAAAAAAACAGAAAACAAACTAAATTAAGCCAGCCAGAAGTTGCTACAAGTTCCAGGGTCTTGACGGGCTCCACTCCAGAAACAGAAAGAATTAGAAGGAACGGACCTTAACAAAACAATTTAAGCAATATGCATCCCGAATCACAGAAGTGTTCCGCCACGATTAGATATCTCGCAGAGGGGAGGTCATTTCGGAATGGATGGAACCTATTGTGCACCTGGCATAGACCTGAAACCCTGAAGTTCTATCTACTGGAAAAAATTAATATGTCCCTCAACACTCTAAAGCTTAGGTGATCTAAGCCCAAAGCTCTGACACCCAGCGCCAAACTCCAAAGCCCTATACCCCAAAATCACACAGCTGCATGGAACCTCGCCAGTTCCCCCAATCACCACGCATTCGCCCAGGTAGAATGCGTGGGGCACGGTTCCGAAGAAGCACCTCTTTCAGGGAACTCTTTTCAGGCCACCGTCTTGGGTTCCTTTAAGGGTGTTTTTTGAAGAGGGGCTTAGGGTTTAGGGTTTAGGGGTTTAGGGTTTAGGGTTCTGTAAGGGCTCTATCAGTGGCTTGGGGTTCGAGGATTTGGAGGTTTAGGGCTCCAAAGGTGGATTCGCTTCGCACGGCTTCGTAAATGGCTGCGACATCCTCCTGCCAGGGAAGCTGTACCACCCATGTGGCTGATGGTGCGGCCATTCCTACAAAACTGTTAAAGACAAGGGAAGCGTCTTATTCTTCGGCACTTGGACACTTAGGCTTAATCAGGGCTTTACGGATGTAGGGTTGTCAGACGGTGTTGCCCCCAGAACCGGCACTTAAGCGAGGAGGAAGCCTGAACAAGCTAGGTTGAAAGGTTTGAAGAAATTTACGTTTCAGCATTATAGAGGTTAAGGCGTTCTTTAGTCTACGCCTCAACATGAAACCCTAAATCCGAATGCTGATGATATAGGGGCCTTAATAATCAGAATAGGGTCTTGGGGCCGACTACACCATAATTTTAAGAAGGAGCCCCCACAATAGCATAGGTAAGTATTTAGGCCCCCAAGCCCTAAACCCTAAACCCCTTAACCCTAAACCCCTAATGACATTGCGCACCTGTTCTTTGCAACTTCCTCCGGTGAGGTGCAGGTGAATCCTCGGCTTTCAGGAAGATGCGGCTGCGGGTGTCAGGATGGTCGGTTCAAGATGGTTGGGTTTAGGGCTTAGGGTTTAGGGGTTATAGGGCTTGGGGTTTAGGGGTTGTAGGGCTTGGGGTTTAGGGTTTAGGGCTTATAGGGCTTGGGGTTAGGGTTTAGGGTTTGGGGGTTGTAGGGCTTGGGGTTTAGGGTTTAGGGGTTATAGGGCTTGGGGTGTAGGGTTTAGGGTTTAGGGTTTAGGGGTTCTGGGTTCAGGGCTTAGGGGCTAGCGCTTGGGGTTTAGGGTTTAGGGGTTATAGGGCTTGGGGTTTAGGGCTTAGGGTTTAGGGTTGGGGTTTAGGGTTTAGGTTTAGGGTTTAAGGTTTAGGGCATAGGGTATAGCAGCTTCTAGCAGGGCTTCTATAGCGGTTTCTGTAGGATTCAGGTTGCCAGGATTGAGCATTCAGCGGTAGTGTTCATCGTATTGGGATCAAGGGCGTTGGGTTTTTTGGTTGGCTTCAGGAGCTGCGCCTGTGTCTGTGGCTCTGACTACACATGCCGCGCATTGGAACTTGGTGGTCTGTCCGAAACAATCAGCAACGATTCTGTGGCATGAGAGGACAGAAGCCTCGGGGCTGTCTGGTTCACGATGTCGGGAATTGCCAAGAAGCTGTGCCAGAGCCTGCAAGTGACACGTATTCGAACTGTTAGTCACTTAGTTTGACGGATCTCGCGCCATAGCGGTCGTGCTTGCCCATCCCCTCCTGAGGAAGGTCCCGAAGGACCTCCAATAAAGAGATCTCAAGAGTCTCTCGGTTCTCGCCGCCCGGTGCGTAGTCTGTAGCCACTTCGTCGGAAACCCACTTCTTTCCCGACTTTTTGGTCTAGCATATACGTTTTAGTCGCATGCGAAGAGCATCTCTGCTGATGACCTTTAATATAAATGCAAAACTGCAGGCAACACAGTGTGGGAGTGGAACGATGTCAAGCAAGCCTCCAAGGGGATCTGGCGCGATGATCAACTGTTCATGCACGACTGTTGGGCGATAATCCGCAAACTGGCACACCAATACGAAGGGTACATCCTCGGTACCAACGAGGCGACCCACAAAAATCTCCCGCATCACACGTCTGGTGTCCAAGGTGGGCTGGTAGGTCTGATCTCCCTTGCCGTCTTCCAACAGCGGCACCAGGCACCAGGGCTCCATCCGAGAAGAGAGAGTGGTCTCGTCACGAAGCGCCTCATGTACCCCGTACTTCGCGAAGGCAGTCTTCGCAAAATCGCAAAGAGGCTTTTCCCCTAAACCCTAAGCCGAAACCGAAACCCTAAACCCTAAACCCTAAACCCTAAACCCTAAACCCTAAGCCGAAACCGAAGCCCTAAATCCTCGAACAACTCACCGGCCGAGCATTTCAGAGTCGCCCGCCAGCCTGGAATCCCGGATTTGGTATATTCGGACCCAAACCCTTCAAGCGTTTGGGGCTTAAGGTAAAGGTTAGGGTTTAGCTGTGTTGGGGTTGAGGGTGCTTCAGGGTTTAGGGTTTGAGGGTTTTGGATTGCCATAGTTGCTTATTCTAGGAGCCCAACCATTAAAAAAAGCTAGCTGCAAGAAGGTGCTACAATCACATTCTGTATCCCTGTAACGCGAGGCCCTAAACCCGATGTGGCTTGAAGGCGCCAGGAAGAATTCTGGGACCCCGTCGATGACTTTCGGGTTTCTAGACCCCTAAACCCTTACCTTAACCCCGAATAACCTGCCTTTCTTAAGGACATTATGCATAGGCTTTAGGGCTTGAGGTGTAGTTATATATAGAAATCATAACAATTCTTAAGGAGCCCTCAAAAGGTAGGTTCTGTAGGGCCCAGGTAACTGTAACACCCTAAAACAGTCCCGAGACCCCTAAACCCCTCCATCTCTAAACTCCAAGCTTCAGGGTCTGGGGTTTCGGCTTGAAGCCCAAGAAGTCCGAAACCTGTTCTCGGGTTATTACTATGTACGAGAGATGCCCGCAGGCAGATTAAGGGTTAGGGTTCTCAGAACCCTAGGATCAGGTTTAGGGTTTAGGGTT